TTTTAATTTTAGTGAAAGTAAATGGTTTAAGAAACTTTCAGCTAAGATTTAATACACCACGCCCGAACATCGCGTTGAGAATGTAAAATCAAAGCGTCCTGGTGCATAGGGGTTCATCGTGACATTGCATGGGAACACAGAGTTTAGCATGATGTTCGTATTCAAAGCGAGTTTCAATACCAATCTGCTTCGCCCCTACATCATTTACCTGAACTTTGAAATTTCATAACAAGATAACCAGCACTTATATCACGGTGAGTTCGTCGTATGAATGAAGCGTCAGCTGAAAAACCAGGAAGCACCTGACGGCTGTTTCAACTTGTTCGGGTCTCGTCAGCAGTACGACACAACTGATCCCACTCGGGATCAAACCCGAGACGTCATAGGTAGAACGAAAGCATACTATCCACTAGGCCACCGGACGGCTGATCAGAGCGTTCCTCATTTCACATATACACGATATAACACAACCCATCTTTGGGAGCTTGTTTCTTGTATTAGTCCTCGCTCATCGCCGCACTAGCCTCCGAGGTTATGAGTCGGTTGGAACTTTCGTACACTCAAACTATCAAAATAACATACAGCAAATAGACAAGTTATACAATTTTCCAACTGAATCATACCCCTGAAACTTAATGTTGAGATGCGCGAGGACCAATCCTCGCAACACGCCCGCAGATATGAGTTTCGCTAGAGCATATAAATTCAAAATGAGAAACGGTTTAATTAACTGTCTAGTGCCCAACTGAGTAGTATGCTTTCGTTCTACCTGTGAGGTCTCGGTTTCAATCCCAGGTTGGGTTGATGGATGATGATGACACCAAACTAAGTTAAAACTGCTGCCCAGTGCTTTCAAGGTCTGCAGCTTACGCCTCATTCGCTCGAGGAATCCATCTTATAAGCAAATCAATTGCTTCATTACTATTATTTAACCAGAATACACCATTGTGGGGTTGTTCCTCACTCTCGTTGTCCCCAAGCTGACTTCTGTTTATGCTTAATCTTCACATAGGGTAGTAAAGATACTCACATTGCAGCCTAGTTGGTTTCAGTCCAAGTAGAGTGATTTGTGACGAAGATTCTAATCCACTGCCCCTCAGTGTATATTTTGTCGTGGTCTTTCATAAATCTGATTGTTTGTAAAACGAGCTCGGGTATAAATATACCAACTGAGTGAGTTCGCGAATAGCGCACAGACCAGCGTCAACCGCGTGGAACAAAACTTGTTTTCAGTGATTGCATATCTTTGCGTACTACGTTTTACCTTTACGTTTTACAAATAGGTTTGCAAAACTGGGAAATTGCAAAAAACACCTTCCAATGAGTAGTTACTATTCACGGCTTCCGGTTTCGTTTTTACACCGAAAGTGGCAAACTTTGGCAGGACTGAGATGTGAGGGGATTGTGAGATATTGAATATGCAGTATCTTTGCACATTTAGACTGACAAATTAGAGAAGAGAGTTGTGAGATGAAATTTTCATTACTTCTGTTTTGGCACCGAAGCACTGCTTGATTCACTTAGATGGGTCGTCACATACTGGGTACAAGGTGCGATGCACCGAATTCGAACGAAACAACACCCTGAACGAATGAACAACTCCGACAGATTCGACTGTTTGATGACGTCTGTTCATTATTTCTGCTCAATAAACCTCTTTTGTCGATGCCGATTTCCGCCCTGCTTCTCAGCTCGGGTAAGGCAGGGTTTTCACAAGCTCGCATTGGCTTAGATTCACAGTAAAAAGCCATTCGTCACCGCGCAGCCTGAATGCCACAATCCATATTCCTGGAAAACGCTATCAATATAAGCTATTTCCATGAGTGCATCACCACGTAATTTCTTATTTTTAAAGAGCAGGAAGGATGTCGCGGTTCCGCAGAACATCCTCTTTTCCTCTTGAAACTGCATACGTCAGATGTGATCCATTATTTTCACCATTTTTTACAGTATCCACGTTTAACAAACTGACGATCTTTTAGTTACTGAAAAATGCGGTCTGTTATTGCGTTTATTTCCAATTAGCCATAACAACATTTCCTGACTGACTTATCGGTATGCTCAGGCCAGAGAAAACCAAGCACAGTTCTGTTATACATGACCAAATAGCAATCAGGCGTTGGTCGCATTTTCACACTCATTCTCTCTACTTTGTCCTAGCTCCATCTAAGCTGCGCGAAATTCCGAAAAACCACCATGTAACTACAGCTTGCGGTGTGTGCTACTAATCATCGGCGCTGCTGTTCTGATGCGTTGAGAAACTTTCCGAGTGTAATGCTCATATTTTCAAGCTATATTTATACACCAAATGATTCCCCCATGCTGAAAGTCTTTGACCATCACGTCTATATTTAAAAAACAGTCCAATAATCACCGCTCTATGGGTTGCGTTTCTGCAAGTGGAGTTCTGTGAGAATCTAATACCCAAATATATATGAAACCAGCAGCAGGTGGGGGTTACCATCCCAGTTTACCTATGTCATCTTAAGGCACGCGGCACTGTCCCTCAACTCATGCATTTTGCTACTTCTAACTTCAATTATGGCTTGCAGGCTGGATATATCTTGACCGAGCGAAAATGCCTCCGGTTCCGTGGAACAATGCGTTTCAATAACTACTATGACGTTCACTCACATGTGGATACAATACAAACCGCATACAATGGACTACCCGTAACCCCTAGTGTTTTTCGTCTTTTTCGAATAATTGGAATTATCA